CCACCTAAATATTTTATTTGGGGAAATTTAGGAACGCCTGACTTGTTTGCCAAAAGGCCACGTGTCCGTCATCACAAAGTTGCCTCGGCTCGAGAACTTGGGTACGGATTGGGGAATGTCACTTACGTGAGCACCCCCGCTCGCTCAATCAAGATCGAACCCTCTAACTAACCATGATATCTATTTTTTTGAAAACCATTATGCGTTCTTATCCGGTTATTAGCCTAAATTTAACTATGTGATGCCACAACATAACAAGTATAGACTGGATCGCTGAATTGGAACAAAACATTCATTTTGGTTTTGTTTGAAAATGTTTGATGGTGCTACTCGCAAGTAGGCTAAGACGTGGATTTGCCACCCTTAGGTGGGCTTAGAACAATGATTTTGCCATATCCTAGTGGGCTTTAAAACTCACATTAATGAATTGTTTCCAACTCAAATAACTCAAACATTCACCACAGGCCATTCGGCAGTTTATATCACATAAAGCACATAGCCTCATGGTAAGCATGCTATCATGAACATTCACTCACACGCATGCAAGGATGCTAAAGCGTAAACTTACCCGAGTATCAAGCCAAAACAGAAACTAATTAGAAATCCATGCATGAATCCTAATTATACAGAAATGCTAATGCAACACATGCAAAGTGCCAACTTAGCAGGCTCGCTATAAACAGACATGGCAAATATGAAATGCTACAAACTAACATGTATTAAACTTGGAATGAAAATACAATGCAGTTAGTTGATGCGCCGAGCCCGTTTGCAATGCAGACAGATGAATGAATGCAAACATGCCTATCAATACTGTATTGCTAATCGAAACAATGGCCCCTAATCTAACCATCATAAGTAGGTAAATAAAAAGGGAGAAGACGTGGGGTTGGAAGAACATACATCACACACACGCACACTTATTACAGTTGTGCCCATCGCTCGGAGGGTCGAATAAATAATATACAGTTCCCAAATGGAATAATACAGTCTGAATAAGTACAAAACCCTAATTAATTTACAAATTTACTAGGAAAGTAATAAATTAAAGCATGCAAGCCAGGGACTGCCTCAACTCTGATCCGGAATGATGAATGATGCATGCTCGGGTTGCTTGTGCCGGAGAAATCCCTTGCGATGCCCGGTTTGCCTCTGTTTGTAAATTGTTCTTGGAAATGCGTGCCAAGCCTTCGGAAGGCTGCTGATTCTTGATTTGCTATAACAGAGAGCAAAAAAGGGGCATGTCAAAAGTAATTTTACATATGTATGCATGACTACTCTCCAGGGATGTAGTCCTTTCGATCCTCGTGCCATCAATTACGCATCTCGATGCATGATGGCCGAGGAGTCGAATTGCAACGACTCAATATGAATGAATGCACATATACAACACAACAAAACCTAAACTCCATCATGGATAATCCGGAGTGTCGTGACTGGGAATTGAGACACGTTCCGTC